GGCTGCTGAGCTACAGGTGCCGAGCCCAGAAGTGATTTCTAGTAGGTGAAGGTGTGAATGTCTACACTCTGATGGATAACTTGGCAGGGGAGCAAGCTTCCTTCTTGAGGGTGTGTTCGGAGAACCATCAGGCTTTGATTTTGCCAACGGGGATTTGTGTTTGGGACCTGAGAGGCCTCCTGTGGCTGGAAGGCACATGGAAGATGTAGAGGGAGAAAAGATTGGGGACACTTGGGGGAAACAGCGCCATCTCGCAGGGGTTTTCATGGGAGTTTGGCAGTGTGACGCCCCATGAGCCCTTCGATAGACTTCCACTTACCTGTCAATGTGCTGTGGATTTGTGTCTCTTTGAGAGACTCAGTGATATGATGGACAGAGGCAAGGGCCCCCTGGATCACATGGGAGAAAAAAGCATGGTGTGAAATACACCAGAACACCGTAGTACAAGTGGTCTTTGGTATATATAGCAGAAGCTTATGCATAAGTTTAGGTTCCTTCTTTGAATTTGTTTGTATTTTCCAAAATTTCTACAGTGATTAAGAATCCACTCTATAATCAGATAAAAATGTCATTTAAAAACGTAAGGCAGATCAGGCATGATGGCTCATGCCTGTAATCCTAGCACTCTGGGACACCAAGGGGGAAGAATTGCTTGAGCTCAGGAGTTCGAGACTAGCCTGAGCTAAAGTGAAACCCTGTCTCTACCAAAACTAGAAAACTTAGCCGAGCATCGTGGCAGCACCTGCAGTCCCAGCCTCCTTGGGAGGCTGAAGCAGGAGGATCACTTGTACCCAGGAATTTGAGGTTGCTGTGAGCAATGATGTCATGGCACTCAAGTCTGGGGCAACAGAGTGAGACTCTGTTCTCAAGGAAACAAAAACAAAAAAATGACAACAACAAAAACTGTGATGGAAACAAAATCAATAGGAGTTTTTTCTCTATAGGTTTTGCACGTTAGCTCCATTTCTCAGAAGCAGTGACTGTTCAGCATCATTTTCTTGTTTTTTTTTTTCCTTCCTGCTTCTCTCTCACAGTTCATCATAATAATAAGATATTATTTTGGTTGTAGTTGTCATTGTTTGGCAGGCCTGGGCTGGATTTGAACCCGCCAGCTATTTACCCGCCAGACACTATTTTACTCTGTCCATCCTAGGCACTGTGCTCAGTGCTTGACACACATAATAACCTTGGAAAGTGGTCCTATCATCGTTCCCATTTTAAAGATGAGAAAAGTGAGACTCAGAGAAATGAAGTCACTAAAGCACGTTTGGCCCCTTTGAGACCAAGCTCTTTGGTGCCAAAATTCTGGCTTCTAATCACTACACATCTTTTTCCTTTCTCCATCTTTTCCTCTCACATCTCTCAAAAATTGTCAGTAAGGTGTCTGAGTCAATCCTGTGGTCATAATCTAAGATTTCTCAACCTGAGCATGACCGCCATTTTGGACCAGATCGTTCTCTGTTGTGGGGGCTGCTCTGAACACTGTAGAGTATTCAGCAGCATCCCAGGCCTCTACCCACTAGATGCTGGTAGCAGCCATCCTCAGAACAACACACATTCAGTTGTAATAATAAAACACATCTCCAGGCATTGCCAAATGTCCCTGGGAACCAAAATCCCCCTCACTGAGAACCACTAATGTAACCTGATCTCTGCATTAGCTGTGGAAGAGGATTCTGGAGTCCCTTTGGAGGAACAGTGGCCTATAGAAAACCACAGGAACAGCCTGTACCCTTCTGGAAAGTCCAAGCTCATTTGAGGCAGCTGCCACCTGCTAGAACATCCTAGGGCAGGGCTTGATAAAAGCTTGGCAACAAGAGATGCGAGCTGAAGCACAGCATCCCTGCCTGGAAGCTGGGGTGCTAGAATTGGAATGGAAAACACGAGTAGTTCTTGACCAGCAAAGGGCTGCATGCCCCGAGCTAGTGGGCAGGTGGCACTGCAAAACGGAGTCAGCAGACCAGACTCTCGATGAGGATGCCGTGGGATGGGGCAGAAAGATAAGTGGACTCAGATCCCAAGGGTTGATTTCTGGTCCTGATCCTGCCCGGCTATCTGCATGCACTGAGCCCATCCCCTTTACCTGTTTCCTCATAGACAAAGCAAATATTAATGCTATCCCTCTGTGTCCCCAAGGACAGCTATCAGGAGCAAAGTAGGATATTTGCTACTGACAAATATCTGACCCATTCACCCGCTTCACTCTTCTCTGTAACAGCTGGAGTCTTATACATGTTTTCACCCTCTGACTCTACTGCCAAAATGTCAGCTTCCCCATGGCTTGGGCTTGTTCACTGCTGTATCTGGAGAGCTGGGGACAGGGACCAACATTGTAGGTGTTTAATAAAGAAGTGCAGAGGGAACACACACATACACACTGAGGGGAAGCTACTTGAAAACATGTCTCAATTGCGTGGACATATCACTTCTTTTGTCCTTGGCAGTTCCACTTCTGAGAGTGTGAATCCCTCTCCCCAAATAATCCAACGTGAGCAAGAAGACTTACGTGAGACCATGTTCATTCTACACTGGCTGACATAGCACAAACCACCTGAAAACCCCACCTAGAGTCACCCAGATAAGGGCATAATTACCAGTACCTTGATACATCTACTTGGTGAAAGTCCGGGCAATCATTAGAGACCGTGTCTATGGTAAGGTGAGTTAATTTTTGCAGCATGCACACAAAACCAGAATGAGCAATGCAAAACTGTTCATGTGACCCCGGTATGGAGCTTTTAGGAGGGTGCATCACCCCCCACACTGGTGCTGGCTGGGAATAGTGGGCACGATCTCTCTAGAGGGCAATATGGAAATTCCTATTAAAATGTAAGTGTTAGGGTGAAAGGTGGCAGAGAAAAGGTCTTGTGTGTGCGTGTGTTTTTGAGTTTGCATCAATCTTAATGTCTCTTCATAATACTTTTATAATATATTGAGCCTCTTGTCTACATATTTGGAGAGAATATGACTTTACTAGCAGAGAAATACACTGTATCTTGTCTACTGGACTGTAAAATATATGTATGAAATAAAATTAGTTCCATTTGTTCTAGTATATTAAAGTGCTATCTGACGTTGTTATCCTGTTTTTGAAAAAAAAAAAAAGTTAACTACAGACCATTGTTTCTAATAAGCAGAGAGATCTATTTTAGTAGTAAACTGAAGGTTTAGTTGTGAGCTTCAGATTTTGTGAACTCCAGATGTTGTGCAGTGTTGTTGTTGTTTTTTTAAAGACAACAACTAAAAAGAAAAAAATCCAAGGAATATGTACACTGGAACTGTAGTAGTAGCTCTCAGTATTGTACAGAGATTGTTCTATACAGACCTTTTTGCTGTTTATCCTGTATGTAATAAAGTCCTTTCTAGAGCCTATGTGAAAAGAAAAGTGAAGCAACTGAATCTTCAGCATCTTCTCATCGGCGGAGCCTCCTTGTGTAATGTAAACTGTGCCATGTTATTAAAAAATGTGAACTAAAAAAAATAAAAATAAATAAAAATTAAAATGTAAGTGTTCAAGCCCCTAGCCCCAGAAATTGCATTTCTAGAAGCATATCCTAGAAAGCTGTCAGGAGACAACCCAGATGGCCATGAACAGGCCAATAGTTAAATGAATTACTGTATATCAATACAATGGGATACTATGCAGCTGTTAAAAATGAGATTTGCATTTACTGATAAGGCTAGATGCCTGAAATAGATTATTAAGTTGGAAAATAAAAGTAAATTGCAATTTCCTTTTTTTTTTTAACATAATAACTGATGTGCATTGTAGATATCTAGCCTTGTTGGTACATACATGAGAGGAGATTTTCTCGATGTTTTGACTTTCTGTGATGTTTAAACATTTTTAACATGGGCTAAAAACAAAATAGTGAACCTGCGACACAAGCACACTTGTATAAGTGAACAAAAGCTAGGCACATTGGCTCGGTACCCATAGCACAGTGGTTACGGCGCCAGCCACATGCACCGAGGATAGCGGGTTAGAACCCGGCCTGGGCCAGCTAAACAACAATAACAACTGCAACAAAAATAAAATAGCTGGGTGTTGTGGTGGACGCCTGTAGTCCCAGCTACCTGGGAGGCTGAGGCAAGAGAATTGCTTAAGCCCAAGAGTTGGAGGTTGCTATGAGCTGTGATGCCATGACACTCTACCCAGGGCGACATAGTGACACTCTGTTTAAAAAAAAAAAAGAAAAGAAAAGCTTGGCACATGAAGACATGAAGATAGGAAGGAACTTTATTCAGGTGTTAATAATAGTGACCAATCATTTCTATGTGGTGAGACAATAGGTGGTTTTGGAGTTTCACCTTTTGAAGCATGTGTGGCTTTTACAAAGGATGACCCATGTCCATAAGCCCTCTTTGTTTTTGTCGGGGTGATGCTTGGGGTGCAGCACTCTGCTGACACTGTTGTGTGGTGTCCTGTTTCCCCAGGATGGATGACATCCAGCTCTGCAAAGACATCATGGACTTGAAGCAGGAGCTGCAGAACCTGGTCGCCATCCCAGGTAACCACCTATGCCTTCCCCTCATGTCAAGCAGCTGCTGGTTTCTACCCGTAGGGTCTGGAAGACCAAGTTCCTGTCTTCTTCAGGCGTGGCCTCATTCTTGCAATGCAGCACTCCCTGACCTCATGGTTCAAAGGCAACTTCAGGCAGATCTGGGTTCAAGTCCTAATTCTAGCCACCTCCTTCACCTTGGGCAAGTCACTTTACTTCCCTGAGCCTGAATTTCTCCTCCCCGGTAAAAGGGTAGTAACAGTAATGGCACCTAATAAATTGGGTATAAATACCAAGGTGCTTGATGAGACAGTGCAAGCCATGAGCCCAACTTGGTGTGTGCCCCAAATAGTCCAGTAAATATTAGCAATTATTACTCTTATTATCCTGTTTGGTAACAAGTAGAGTGTAGTGGTTACATGCTCGGACTCTGGAGTCAACCTAGATTTGCTAATTATTCACAGCATTATTTATTTGACGCCCCCCCCCCCAAAAAAAAAGCTTTCTCTGCCTAGTTAGGCTGAGTCAGGTGCCCTCCATGGGGCATGTGTCTCTGCAGACTTCATGCTCCTTGATGGTACAACATGAGGGTTTGGTTGATGCTAAGGGAAGATTTATTGACTAAATAAACACAGCTGTAGATGAAGAAACTTGACCTTGGCAAGGAGCAACACAGCTCAGAGAAGCAGCCACCTTTGTCCTTGATTTGAATGTGTTTACCATTCTCTCAGTTCAAGAAGTGTGTCCCAAGAGTCTGTTCTACAGGAAGCCCTGAGCTAGGGGCTGGGCATGCAGTGGGGGACACAGGAGGATTCCCTCCTGTCTGAGCACAAAGTGGGTACCCACAGTGACAACTGTTAGTGAGCTACAAGGGCAGCATAATGTGCTTTAGAGAAGCATATCCCAGCCTTGACACTCTTGCCATTTGGGCTGTCAAAACGTCAATATCATCGTTTGGGATTCACAACATTTGGTTTGGGTTGGGGGTGGTCTGTGCTGTGCCTTGGAGGGTGCAGAGCAGCACGCCTGGCCTCTCCCCACTAACCCACAGACAGCCCAGCCTTCCCCTGCCCTGCGCCTCTGCCAGCCAAAAATGTCTCCAGATGTTGCTAAATTCAGGGAGGCAATATTGCCCCCATATAAGAACTGCTTCTTTGGGGTACAGTGATCTGCGTTCACATGTAGCCTTAGTAGCTAGGTGACCGTTATCAAATACTTTAATTTCTTTAAGCTTTACATTCCTTGTTTGTAAAACGAGGCATGCCCTTAATGTCACCCTCTCATGGTTGTTTGACTATCTCATGTAACAAATGCAAAGCTCAGGAGTCCTCAAACAGTCTTGTTGTAAGGTTAGTGTGTGCAGTGACCTTAGAACAAGATATGATTTCCTTTGTGAGCATTTACTAGATGCCAGGCCCTGTGCAGGGCCTGGGGATAACTGAGTGACTAGACTCTCCTAACTGAAAGGGAATAACAGCTAGCAGGTACGGGGTTTGTTTTGGGGGTGACAAAAATGTTCAACAATGGATTGTGGTGATGGTTGCACAACTCTTCCAATATACTTGGAACAAATGAATTGCATGGCATGTGAATCATACTGCAATAAAACTCTTACAACCCCAAAGTTAAATGTCAAACATTAAAGAATGGGGAGAAAGTACCAAAGTCTAGACACCACGCACTAGAAACTCCGATGCAACTGATCTGGTGTGGGGCTCTGGCTGTGCTAATTTTTAAAAGCATCCCACGTGACTGTGATGAACAGCCAGGATTGGGAACCACCAGGCTTGTTCTACTGTTTCATTTTATAACCCTCCACGGGATAGTTTGGTTGAAAGGCACAGAAACCTTTTCAAACATATGTGAGAACAAAACTTTTTTATTATTATTATTTTTAGAGACAGAGTCTCACTTTATCACCCTCGGTAGAGTGCTTGTGGCTTCACAGCTCACAGCGACCTCCAACTCCTGGGCTTAGGCACTTCTCTTGCCTCAGCCTCCTGAGTAGCTGGGACTACAGGCACCTGCCACAACGCCCAGCTATTTTTTTTGTTGTTGCAGTTTGGCCAGGGCTGGGTTCGAACCCACCACCCTTGGTATATGGGGCTGGCGCCCTACTCACTGAACCACAGGTGCCGCCTGAGAACAAAACTTTTGATTACTCAAAGAGCAAGGGATTCTCATGGAGCACTGCTTCCTAGAGCTGCCCTTACAAATTAACACAAACTGGGTGGCTTAAACAACAGAAATGTATTCTGTCACAGTTTTGGAGGCCAGCTCTCCAAAATCAAGGTGTCAGTAGGGCCATGCTGCTTCCTGAGGCTCTAGAGGAGAATCCTTCTGTGCCTCTTCTGGATTCTAGTAGCTCCACACAACCCTTAAAGCTGTATCGCCAATCTCTGCCTCTGTAATCATGTGGCTTCTTCCCTGCGTGTGTCTCTGTGTCCCCTCCTCTTGTTATAAAGACACTAGTCATTGGATTTGGGGCCCATCCTAAAGAGTATGACCTCATTGCAGCTCAAATAATTATATCTGCAAAGTAACTTCCAAATTACTTTGGAAATAGGGTATTTCCAAGTAGGATAGACATAAATTTGGGGAGGAGGGTGAGGTACTATTTCTATATGAGGCAAACCTGAATTTTATGCGTCTTAGACCACGTGGGCTGCTGTAACAAACATACCATAAACTGGGTAGGTTAGAAACCACAAACATTCATTTCTCACAGTTCTGGAGACTGGCAAGTCCAAGATCAAGGTGCTGAGAGATTTGGTGTCTGGTGAGGGTCCATTCCTCAGAGATGGCACTTCTGCTGTGTCCCCAGGTGGTGGAAGGGGCCAAAAACCTCCCCAAAGACCTCTTTTATAAGGTCACTGATCCCATTCATGGGGGCTTCTCCTACCTGATCTATTCACTTCCCAAAGGTCTCACTTCTTAATACCATCACCATGGGGGTGAGGATTTCAACTTTTGAATTTGGTGGAGACACAAACATTCAGACCCTAGCAGGAGGAGATACTCTTCAGCCTGCTACAGATATGAAGCCCAGCCACACAAGGGCCTGGAACCCGAAACAGGAAAGCCGGTGGCATGTCCCCCTCACCCCCCACCGCCCATTTTGAGTGGACATTCTATATTCTCCCTCTAGCACATGAAGGAAGCAAGGCCACTCCATCTCCCTTCTGTGATCTCCCTACCCAGCAGCCCAACTCTCACGGCCTCTATATCCCAATTTGAATTGCCCAGGAGACCCCAGTATGGGTCACCATCTTCCTGTTGGGAGGGAGGATTCCTGGGGTCCACCATCGGCTCAGCAGGATTCATGAAGCCAACTGAGCTCTTGTGTGTCAAGGCAGAGTAGCAGCGAGTGTGAAGCCCTCAGGGCTGGGGCAGCCTCCAGAGCCTGTGAGGGGCTGGGAGGTCTCTGGAGCAACACAGCTGACCAGGGCTGTCCAGGGGGAGGCTATTTTAATGCAATACTTATGAAGTCAATACATGTAAAAAAAATCCATGATGAACAAAATATCAAAAGTATAATTAGAGACGAGATCAATACTGACATCTGTATACAGAGACCAGAGATGCTACAACCTGCAGTGTGGGGTTGGTCCCACCTGAAATGCCATTGACTTCCCCAGTGAGGATCAGGACTCAAACAAGGTGGTGGAGCCAGTTAGCAACAGAGCCCAGTCCCACTGATTCCCCAGAAACTGGTTCTTCCCATTAGCTTTTGGCAGAAATTCAGATAGCAAAGTTCTGTGAGCATCTTTTCCTCTCCTGCTGTCGTGGTCGCCTGTCTCCACCTTCTCCTCTGCCCTTCTGGTTGAGAATCTTTCTCCATGTTCCCTGGACCAGGACCAGGTTTCTAGATAGATTTAGTTGAGTTCAGGGGGAAACAACCCCAGATGTTTCTGGCAACACATCAATAAAAGTATGAAGGCCGTGTGTGGTGGCTCACACCTATAATCTAGCACTCTGTGAGGCTGAAGCAGGTGGATTGCTCAAGCTCAGGAGTTTGAGGCCAGCCTGAGCAAGAGCGAGACCCCGTCTCTACTGAAAAATAGGGAAAAAATACAAAAACAAAACAGCTAGCTGGGCCATATGTTGAGCCCTGTAGTCCCAGCTACTTCAAAGGCTGAGGGAAGAGAACCTCTTGAGCCCAAGAATTTGAGGTTGCTGTGAGCTATGATGCCAAGGCACTCCACCCAGGGTGACAGAATGAGACTCTGTCTTAAAAAAATAAAATAAAATAAAAAATTAAAGTATAAGTAGAGAGAACCATGACCAGTCAAGAAAATCATGTTTCTTGAGACAGGGTCTGAACATAATTCACCAACTATTGGGTGGTGAGTGGGGGTTTCTGTGATTGGAGAATGCCTGGGGACCTTCCTGCCTGGAGGGCTTCTCAAAGATCAGCCAGATGCCTGGCCCCACCTCCACCGCCCCCACCACAACCATAGAACTCGGGGTGCATAGGCTGTGGGGGACTTGGTTACCTTCCCCTTGAACCTAACGATAGTGTCTCTGTCTTAGGCTTGTGGGGGAAGGATTAAAGCAGTGCTGCTCAACAGGGGTGCTAGGGGACATTCGGCAATGTCTGGAAACATTTTTAGTTTTCACAACTTGGAGCAGGTCAGGGGTGCTACTGCCATATAGTAGATGGAGGCCAGGGATGTACTAGGTAAGTGTCTTTCAATGTACAGGCAGCCCCGTGCATTAGGAAATTATCTGGTCCCACGTGTCGACAGTGTTGAGGTGAGGAGGCCTAGATTAAATGAAAATGTACAATGCATGCTAACACAAATAGAATTCTAATAGCTGCAGCTAATTAAGCCTTTACCATGTGTATATACTTTAAACATTTGCTTCTCCTTCATTAAACAAGTATTTATTTCTTTTGCACCTGGATTGATAAATATTTAATTGGGAGAGCATTTAATCACTAAAACAATAGTGACAGTTATGTAATAGTGTATAATAATAGCAGCTAACTTTTCATGAGCCCTTCCTATGCACCAGGCAGTGAGCTGGGTATTTTACTCGGTTTATAGCTCTTCAAACTTGCAACACCTTTATGATTAGCTGTGTTGAGAGATTGGATGCTCAGAGAGGTTGAGGATTGTGCCTAGAGTCACATAGCTAGGAAGCGGGGAGCCGGAACTGAGGAATTAAACCAGGACAGATTCTATAGGGAAGGAGCCATGGGCCAGGGTGACCAGTAAGGAGGCTACGGCATGGTTCAGGGAAAGATGCTGGTGGCCTTGGTTCAGCAGATGACTGGAGCAGAAGAGAAGCAAGTTGGAGATCCAACGGCAAGTACCTGGGATGTTAGGAAATCAGGTATGTGATGCTGGCAAGATGTGGGGGGAGTTGGCCAGCTGAGGGTTCTCAGTGACAAGTAGGTAGGTGATGTTGGCAAGCAAAAGGGTCACATCACCAAGTAGGAGGGTAGTGCCTGCCTGCAGAGATGCTGATAGGAAGCGGATGTGGCATATAAGCACGTGAGCAGCATTGGCCATGATGTGGACGCTGGCTTGTAAACTGGCGCCGCCCATTTCTATCATTAGGTGGCTTCTCCCCCAGGAATCACTAGTGTCTGTGGGAGGCGAGAGGTAGACAATGTATGAGTAACTATGGAACAGATGTTTTCAGGTGCTGGGGGCCCAGCAAGTTTTCAGGTGATTCTGGCCAAGACCTGGTGTATAGGACAGGGCGTGTGGGAATGTTCGGGTGCTGTCGATGGTTACTTGCAGATGAAAGTCACACTACGGACTGCCGAAGAGAGCTGGAGTGAGCAGGGGGGCCTGGCAAGTCTGTGGGTGCTGGCCCTCACCTGGAGAGGGGTGGTGATTTGGGGGAGCAGACCTCAGACACCCACATGGTAGGAGCAACTCCACCATCGTCCAGTGCAGCAATGGGGGTTGGTTAGCAATTCCACTGCCCTTCTCCACTGGTGAACGGGAGAAGCCAACTTCCTCTCTCATCCGAACATGATAGTCTCCCCACCTCTGGCTCTGCTTCCAGATCTAGAAGAAATTGTCAACGTCTGTCACAGGCAGGCAGACAGACAGCTGCCCCACATTTTTCATTCTGAAGAGGTCGGAGCAGGAGGCTGAAGTGGGTCTCAAAGTTTCTTCCAACGTCACCTGCAGCCCTCTCTCTTTGCTCTTCCCTTTGGCGTCCCAGCCCTTGGTATTTGGGACAGGCTTACTCTCACCTCGAAGTGATTTCCTCCCAGCTCTCCCCTGCCAGCCCCTCCTCGCCCTCTACCTTCCCCTTGCTGTGTCGTCCCCATTTACCAAATGCTCCTGCTAAGGCCAAGCTTCCCGCTAAGCCCTTTACTAACATCACTGCACTTTAAGCCTCGCTGTGTGTATTTTACAGAGGAGGAAACTAAGGCTTGAAGAGGTCCAGTTGCTTAGAGCCAGCATTGTAACTCTGCCTCTTGGATCACCCTCATCTGTTTCTTTGTCCATGTTTTCTTCTTCCCAGAAAAAGAAAAAACCAAGCTGCAGAAGCAGAGAGAGGATGAGCTAATCCAGAAGATCCACAAACTGGTGCAGAAGAGAGACTTCTTGGTGGATGACGCGGAGGTTGAGCGGTTACGGTGAGTGAGCTGCGTCCGCAGCTGTCCGCAAGCACCGGACTGCTGGGCACCAAGCGTCCACTTTCTCCCAGCACCCATCGTCTGCTCCTGGGACTCACAGCCTTCCTAAGAGGCATGACCTCACCCAATAGTCCCCGGATACTGCATCCAAATGAACCCCAGCCTTCTGGCCTGACTCATTCCATATTCGAGAAAAACTCAAATCCAGCGAAAGTCCCCAGATACTGCATCCAAATGAACCCCAGCCTTCTGGCCTGACTCATTCCATATTCGAGAAAAACTCAAATCCAGCGAAAGTCTGTGTATCTTCAGTGAATGTCATTCACAGGGATGACGAGGGAGAATTATATCACATAGCACATGACAGAGCTTCCTACATGCCTTCACAACTCATCAGGGCAACTTCTCAAAACCTTCACAAGAAGAGAGGTGCTCAGGGCCCCTTCCAACCCAGAGGGCAGCTTCCTCTTCATCCTGTGTCCCCAGAGACCCTCTCCAAGGCCCCTGGGATATGCCTTGCCTAACTCAGCCAGGCTGGACCTACCAACTTTATCCTAGTGTTTCTTGGAAGAGCTAAGGATGACTTGTTCTCTGAGAACTGACATGTGCTTTTTGAGAGCCCAAGTGAACAGGGAACTTAAAGATACAAGGTCAGGGGAGGTGTTGCCTAGCTCATCAATCTGCAGCAGGGAGGCTGGGTCCTGTGATGCCTCAGCCTCTGCCCTGAGGTCTTGCTCTAGTTCTGGGTAAGCATTTACCCCATTGTTTGTTTACATGTGTCTGGTTCAGAGCAGGATCATCAAATACAACATAAACCCATAACACACAATAACATACACACCATCCGCAAAGCTTGACACTTGGTTCCACCTGCTAACATATGGGCTTTATTTCGCTGGTTCCTTGACGTTTTCTTTGCTTACTGTGCTTTCCCCTTCTTACACATTCACAGGGAGCAAGAAGAAGACAAGGAAATGGCCGATTTCCTGAGAATCAAGTTAAAACCTCTAGACAAAGTAACCAAATCTCCAGCCAGTGAGTGCATACATTATTCCTTGTCCTCTTCCAAGAAAGGGAAAAGGATATTTCAAGAAGGTCTGGGGGCCAGAAGGGGGTGAAACAAAATGCTTCCTAGAGATCAAACTTGAACATGAGATGGTAGCAGGCAGGGCCAGCCTCACTGGCCTGCAACTTGTGCAGCTGCCGAGGGCCCCATGTCTAGAAGAGTACTGTGCTTGGCTTAATGTTCTGCTATTGCTGTCTTGAAATTCTTAATAATTTTGGAACACAGGGTCCTGAGTTTTTATTTTGCCCTGAACTCCACAAATGATATAGCTGGTCCTGGCAGCAGCTGTCCTTCCCTAATCACATGGTTTGGTGAATTTCATAGAAGGAACTGGGTGTCCACTTAGGCTCAGGGAGCTCTGGCCTCTATTAGGGCTGGAATCTATGGAGGAGTGAGAGGCACAATTCTTAGAATTAGCTTCATAAGCTCCCCAGAGCAAAAAGGGTTTTATGTGAAATCAGTCTGTGAAATGCTACATTCTTGACCCTCTGTTTGGAGGGTCCCAATGTCCACTAGAATACTGAAATGATAATGTATCCTGCTGTCAAGGAACTGTCATCTTTATTTTCACCCAGATGTGTCTAACTGCTGTATTAGTGAATTCCCTTTCAGTTATAAGAAATAGAGGATGGGTGCATTGGCTCACACATGTAATCCCAACATTTTGGGAGGCCAAAGTAGGAAGATTGCTTGATGCAGGAGTTCAAGACCAGCCTGAGCAGGAGCAAGACCCCATCACTACAAAAAATAGCAAAATTTTCTGGGTGAAATGGTGCATGTCTATAATCCCAGCTACTCAGGAGGCTGAGGCAGGAGGATTGTTTGGGCCTAGGAGTTTGAGGTTGAAGTCAGCTATAATGGCATCATTACTCTAGCCTGGGTGACAGAGCAAGACACTGTCTCAAAAACAACAACAACAACAACAACAACAACAACAAAACCAGGGAGGGAGAGAAAGAAGGGAAACAAAGAAATGAATGCCCAGTTCTGATTTAAGCATAAAAGGGAATTTGTTGAAGGAAGAGCAACAGGAACTAGGGCCCTGGGGACTGAACATTATTAGCTCCCTCACTGTCCTGTTTCTCATCTCTATATCTCTCTTTTCATGCTAGCACATTTTCTCCTACTACACAGGCCTTCTCTATGGGGCCAGAACTCCAGGCTGGTAATTTATCAGCTCTGAGGAAATGGCACAGATCTTCTCCTCTGGTATCTAAATACATAAATGCCAGGGAAAGATTCTGATTAGCCTTTCTTGGATCATGTTTCCACCTCTTAGACCCATTACTGTCACTAGGAGACTGGGATGATCTGATTGCCTAGGTCTGTGGAACATGCCACTCCTGTAGCCACAGGGACATGAGCAATTACCAGAGGAAGAGGGATTGGGACTCTTGATTGGGGAAACAAAGACCAAAAGCTACCACTATCTATACAACCATAAACCCAGTTTTCACTGACCATCCATTAACATCCTATTAACACAGGGTTGTAGAGTTTGGGGAGGAAGGAAAGAGAACCATGGTCCCTTCTACTGGCCCTTAAAGCCACAAGGCACATGGATGGAAAGAAAGAGATGATTCTAGCAAGAAATCAAAGCACCAAGACTGTACCACATGTAAAGGGCAAGTTTATGCCACTCATATGGTCCTGGAATCTCGAATTGAAAGATATAAAGCAACTCTAAAACCAGCAAAATCTCTAGGACCTTAGTAAAAGCAAATGTAAAATTGCTAAGTAGGGAACTTTCTGAATCCCATGGTACACAGCACTCCACAGATAAAAGCACCACCATGAAGATGGGTTCTCAATACAAATTAAAAATCCATGAATAATTGAATCGCCACAAGGGGAATCAGTAGATCCAACAAAGGGAGTGTCCTTCCAAAAACCAGAAAAAACAGAACTATTTAAAAGAGATAGTAGACCAAGTACATTTAATTTACTAAAGAGACAAGAGAAGGAGTAACAACCAAAATGAAATAGCAGGATGCTTTGAAAAAGAATAGGTGGACTTGCAAAACATTAGCATTCTATAAAAATTATTGTCACCAACATAAAAAGTCAATGGATTAAATGCAGAGATATAGCTGAAGGGAGGATTCATAAATGGGAAGGCAGACTTGAGAAAATTACCTGGAATGCACCACAAAGAGAAAAGGAAATGGAAAAATAAAAGAGAAATTATGAAACATAGAAGATAAAATGAGAAGGTCTAACTTATGTCTGGTAGGAATTCTGGAAGGAAATAAAAGAATGGGAGGTGGAGGTATCTAAAAAAAAAAGTATGAGTAGTTTCAAGAATTGAAAAATATGAGCCTATCTTCTTAGTTTGGGCCAAAAAAAAAAAAAAAAAAACTAAAAGGAAAATATGGGCCTGCAGATTGAAGTGACTTGAACAAAATTCCCCATTTTCCATTCACCAAATACTTCTTTAATGCCAGGCACTGTGCTATAAGCTTGGTGGGTACAATAGAGAGGAGAACTAACTAGGAGAAGGGCTAACAGCTGTGTTTGAAGGCTGAGAACTGAAAGCCAGTGGGTTCACATGAAAGGGGGGGTAGCTATCATATAAAATGTACATTAGTTCTCCACATCACCTGCACAAAACCTAGAACCCCTGGCCAAGGGTTGTGGTGGGGCTGGGGCTGCAGACGGTCAGTGCTTCCCTCACCTTACCTCTTACTTTCTATCCTTTTCTTCCTCTGTGCTCCTGTCTTGCTGCAGGCTCCCGGGCAGAGAAGAAAGCAGAGCCCCCACCTAGCAAGCCCACAGTGGCCAAGACAGGGCTGGCACTCATCAAAGATTGCTGCGGGGCCACCCAGTGCAACATCATGTAGTCCCCACGTGGGGTGCCCCCAGGGCCACGGGGACCCCCTCCCACCCTCTTGTCTTCTTAGCCCCCATTTCACTGGGGCTCAAGAGCTCTCCAAGGCAGAAGGGGTTGAAGGCAAGCCCGTGACTGTAGCCAGGGGCCATGGCAAGGCAGGCGGGCCAGGCCACCCTGTACAGAGTGTAGCAATAGGGAGTCCCTCACCGTCGCATGGCCCTCCCCAGAGCATGCCGAACCCAGGAGTCTGTCTCACTGTTTATCTAACCACCAGGAAAGGTCCTCCCTCAAAAAAGTATATCTCCACTTCTATCTAGCTGTATCTAACCCACGTGCGAATGAACTGGGAAAGGGGCATGCTCCCCAGGTGTGTGTAGTTGTGACTTCTCAGCAATCTAGCACTATGTTGGACAATCCCCCCATCCACCCTCCCAGCTCTGCTGTCAGGCCTGCCCCAAATGGGCACAGGCCCTGTCCTGTCTACCCTCTCCCAATGGCTGTGCCCTGGAGGGCTCCACGCAGCCCATGTGTCTCTAGGGCACTATCCCTATAGCCTTCTTAGAGACACAGAGGGCCCATCTGTAAAGATTGAGCTTGTGTACAGTGTCACGGTCACATCTCCTGCTTCCTCCTATCCTGTGACTGGGGACAGTTCACATCAGGGGCATCCATTGAGCTCTCAGCTTGTTATGTCTGCCCCAGGTGGACACGTGGAGTAGAGTGTGGCTCGGGGTGGGGTGGGGGCCTTGGTTGGGGCAGACCCAGTGTGCAGAAAAGGTGGCAAGTAGGAGGCTGCAATGCCAAGGCCAAGACGGATGAAAAGGGGACCCAGAGCAGATGTCGACTCAGGCACTCCACGCCCCAGGGACTGCTGCAGAGATGCCAACAGATGCCACCTCACCAGGCCAACACACAGACCTCTGTGAAGAGCAGCAATGGTTGGGAGAGGGAGCCTGACCTGATTGTACCCCAACACCTGTGGTGTGTTTTAACCAGCCACCAAACAGTTCCACCCGTTTAACTTGATGTACATTTGCTACAGCCAGCCCGGCACAGCCCGTGTGACCTCTCTGTACGTGTGTGTGTCGTGAGCGGCCTAAGTAGTTAGTATAACTCAAGATTTGCTGATGTGCAATCATCTATCAGAGAAAATAAAAATGGAAACCACGTACACAGTATTTTAACAGTTTTTACTTTTTCCTTGATTATGGATGCAATCCATGTACATAGTAAATCATTTTAAAAGTACAGAAAGTATAAAGAAGGTTTTTTTTAAATACCATTATTCCTCCAACTTAAGACTACTTTGACATTTTGTCATGTTTATTTTCAGTCTTTTTTTGTGCATTTCTTTTTCATGACTGACATCATATTGTTATCACTTTAAAAACATTTTTTCCTACCTATTATATCACCACCATTCTCTTACATCATTAAAAGCTCTTTGTAAACATTAAACATTCTTCATTAATCTTACCAATGGCTGCTTAGTAATCCATCTTGTGGATATACGGTAATTTATCTAACCACTTCACTTGTCACTACTGGACAATTAGACTGTTGCCAGTTTTTCTGTGGGATAAATAATGTCACAATAAACCTCTCGGAGGAAACAGCTGCATCTGAATGTTTAATTTTCTCTTATCATTAAGATAAGAAATAAAATTCTGCGGGAAATAATTAGCAGCATTTTGAAAATATTTATAAATCAAAATTTAATCTGGGCTGGGTGTAGTGGCTCACTCCTGTTATCCCAGCCCTCTGGGAGGTCAAAGCAAGAGGATCCCTTGAGTTCAGGAGTTTGAGACAGCCTGAGCAAGAGCAAGACCCCATTTCTACTAAAAATAGAAAAACTAGTGGGGTGTTGTGGTGGGTGCCTGTAGTTCCAGCTACTCTGGAGACTTAGGCATGAAGATCACTTGAGCCCAAGAGTTTGAGGTTGCTACAAGCTATGATGCCACCACGGCACTCTATCCTGGGCAACAGAGTGAGACTCTGTCTCAAAAAATAAAAAATCATTAAAAAACAAAAAGTTAATCTGAATGTGCCTCAGTCACAGCAGTTGTGGAGTTGATGCAAAGTGTCTCTGGCAGTGGGCCCCACGGTCTTTGGTCTTTGGCTCCTTCAACCATGGGGACATGACCTGTCCTCCCTCTCTGGCACAGATGCTTCAGTCTGGGCTTTGGTCTGCACGTCATTTTCTTTCCAATGCTGGACAGGCTCCCTCAGACCTGTCCCTCATCCCACCGGGACACTGTGTCCTCCTTTACTACCCTACACCAACCATGAAGTCAGATTGTGTCAGTGTCCTGGGACTGCCATCACAAACGACCTTGTACTAGGTGGCATAAAACAACAGAAATTTGTCCTTTCACAGTTCTAGAGGCCTGACAGCTAAAGTCAAGGTGTCTGGCTCTGCACACATAGCTCAGTGGTTAGGGTGCCAGCCACATGCACCGGGCCTGGTGGGTTTGAACCCAGCCCGGGCCTGCTAAACAACAATGACGACAACAACAACAACAAAATAACTGGGTGTTGTGGCGGGCACCTATAGTCCCAGCTACTTGGGAGGCTGAGGCAAGAGAATCACAAGCCCAAGAGTTTGAGGTTGCTGTGAGCTATGACGCCATAGCACTCTACCAAGGGTAACATAGTGAAACTCAGTCTCAAAAACAAAACAAACAGGCAGCACCTGTGGCTCAAAGGAATAGGGTGCTGGCCCCATATACCAGAGGTGGCAGGTTCAAACCCAGCCCCAGCCAAAAACTGAAAAAAAAAAAAAAAAGAAAAGAAAAGAAACAAAAAACTTCCATTGCTCAGGGCCCATATACCAAGGCAGCAGCCACATATACCAAGGCTGGCAGGTTCAAACCCAGCCTGGGCCTGCTAAATAACAATGACAACTACAACAAAAAACAGCTGGGCGTTGTGGTGGGAGCCTGTAGTCCCAGCTATTTGGGAGGCTGAGGCAAGAGAATCACTTAAGACCAGGAGTTTGAGGTTGCTGTGAGCTGTAACACCATGGCACTCTACCCAGGGCAACAGCTTGAGACTCTGTCTCAAAAAATAAATAAAGTCAAGGTGTCTGCAGGGCCCTCTCCTCCCCGCCCCCTGAAGGCTGAATGGAGGAGTCCTTCTCACCTCTTGCAGCTCCTGGTGGCTCCTGGCATTTCCTTGACCTTCCAGTCTCTCCCTCTGTGCTCACATGGCCTCTCCTCTGCATTCATGCCTCTGTGCGTCTTCACCGCCTCTTACAAAGATACCAGTCATTGGATTTAGGATCCACCAGATCCAATATGATCTCTTCATCCTTAGCGCAATGGCTTCTTCCAAGACCCTATTTCTAAGTCAAGTCACATTCTGAGGTTCCAGGTAGACATGAATTTGGGGTGGGGGGCACCATTCGACCCACTGCAGACCTTTCCCATTCTAATTTGCAGTAAAAATTTAGGCTGCAAAGAGCCCACTACAGCCCTTCTTCATAGAAAACATGGGTCAAGGAGGCCTGACTAAGGCCAGTTATAGAGCGGTTGGTTACTCACTGATGCAACAATCCCGAAGAGATCGAACCCTCATAAAAATCCTGCCTCTAGTACTTCTAAGCTCTGGGGGAGACCTACCTTATGTTACTGCTACTCTTATTGATTTTTTTAAAACAAACAAAAAAGCTCATTTATTTAGGCTGCCACACAAGAAAGTAATAACTCAGTAAGTTCTGGAATCCCAGGGCTGCTGGCAAAGCTGGGAAACCCTGCAGACCACGGGCTTGGGCATACCTAGGCTTTCTCCTTTTGAAATAATAGGGGAGGGTGAGAATAGGAATAGCAGTCCAGCCTCAAGGGCTAGCACCTGTAATCCCGGCACTTTGGGAAGTGGGGGGATTGATTGCTTGAGGCCTGGAATTCAAGGTTGTAGAGAGCTCTGATGGGGCCACTGTAGTCTAGCCTGGGCGACAGAACAAGACCTTGTTTCTTAAGAAAAACAAAAAAGTTAGCTGGGCATTGTGGCCTATGTTACAGTCCCAGCTGCTCAGGAGGCCAAGGCAAAAGGGTTGCTTGAGCCCAGGATTTTGAGGTTGCTGTGAGCTATGATGATGCCAGAGCACTCTACTCAAGGCAACAGAATGAGACTGTCTCAAAAAAAAATAAATAAAAGCCAAAAAACTGAACATACACTCATACACACACACACACACACACACACACACACACAACTTCAAAAAAGGAATAACAGGTATTGCTGCTTTTCACTGTACTTTGAGCAGTGTACACACACAAAGCTGGTTAGCTCCTGGGGTCAGCCCGGCGAGGTAGGGCCTGTTACTCCTTCACTTTACTGAAGAGGAGGCAGCAGCAGTCCCGTAACCTGGCCCCATGGGTGTTAGTGGCAGGCTCATCATTCATCCCCCACCTCTGCTGGACCCTTGCTTATCCTTTCTCTGCCCACTGTCACTGAAAATCATCTTTCCCATTAAAAAACCAAAACCCAAAAAACACACTAAAAGTACCTCCATCTCATCTTTCCCAGCACCCATCCCCTTTCCCTGCATCTTTCCAGCTGTACTTCTTTAGAATTAGCCACAGTCCTGTTGTCTCTATTTTTCTAACCTGTAGATCCATCCTGAATCTATTTTAATTTGGTTTTTGTCATTCTCTTGCAATTGAATCCTCTCACTGGGGATGCAAGCATCTGGTGACATATCCAGTCCAGGCACGTCAGCCACATGCTGTCCCAGCTCTCTGCAGCATGTGGTGTAGACGCACACTTGGCCGGATCACCAGGACCTGCCGCTCTGGGGTGTGCTTCTTCTGCTTAGGAGGAGCTCTTTCCCCACTTCCTTAACTCGCCTCTTCTTCAGGGCTCGGCCCTCGGCATTTCATTCCTCTCTCTCCTGATCTCATTGTATACCTCTGATGGCCACATACACCCTGATAGCTCCCGGATTCCCTCTCCTCTAAGCTCAGGTGCCAACTGCTCCCCAAGACTCTCTATTTGAGCTTAGAGCAGGCACATCAAATGTAAACTGTGGATCCACAAAGTATTGCCCTCAAGGCAAAATTCTACCTGCCATCTGTTTTGTAAATAAAGTTTTATTGACAAATAACCACACTCATTTGTTCACAAATCATCTATGGATGATTTTGTGCTACCACAGCTGAGTGGGTATGACAGAGAATTAAGGCCTACATATTCTAAACTAAAAGTAACATCTCTGGACCTTTAAGAAAAAGTTGGCTTAGCCCCTGACCTAAATGGTGCTCACCTTGTCCTGTGTGTTTTTCATTGTGGGTTGTCCAACATCATCCTAGGACTTGCCCTTGGTGCCTATATTCCTCTTCATAACCACTCAGTGGTCAAGCCTTTAGCTTCTACTCCCGAGTCTGGCCACACCCCAGCTTAGCACTCATCTTCTTCCACTTGGTCAACAGAACCTTCTTGATTGGCCTCCTGGGCATAATCGTTCTCCCCTTAAATTCATTCTCCACATAGCAGCCCAAGGTGATTTTCTTAGTAACCCAAACCTCATTGTCACGCCACTCTTTAAAACCATCCCCGTGGCTTTGGGATGAAACCATGCTCTTTCTCCATCCTTAGTCTCATGCTGTCCTCTCCCCAAGGCCCCTGTCCATGCTGGGACCACAGCTCCCCTGGGCTCCTAGATTACCCTTGGTGCCTCTCCTAGATTTTCACTCATCATTCCCTCTGCTGCTGCTTGGTCTTTCGCTGCCCTGCTAGCCTTTCTTTCTGTCATCTTCTGCCTAGTCTTACCCGTGCACAATTCAGAAGCCAAAACCATCTTCCTAAAGGGCGAGTCTAACCAAGTGTGTTTTGACTGCTTCCCAGTTTAAAAGTCTCCTGTGCCAGGCATGGCAGCTCAGGCCTATGATCTGAGCTCTGTATAGCAGCTGAGGTGTGAGGACAGTTTGAGGCCAAGAATTTGAGATTAGCTTAGCAACATAGCAAGACCCCATCTCTACAAAAATACAAAAAAAAAAATTAGCCAGGCACGGTGGCACGTAGATGTAGTCTCAGCTATTTGGGAGGCTGAGGTGGGAGGATCACTTGAGCCCAGGAGTTTGAGGCTGTGGCAAGCTATCTTCAGGCCACTGCACTCCAGCCTGGGTAACAGACACCCTGTCTTGTTAAAAAAAAGTCTCCTATGCCTTTCCTCCATCTTTGTAGTTTCCTAAGCCCCTTCTTGGGCCTGGTTTCCTAAGCCCCTGCCGAATTTTCCCATCTCCCTTCTCACTGCTCCTTGAGCATCAGCCTGTG